CTTTAATTTAATAACGTGCGTTTTTAATTTAATAACGTACGTTTTTAATAATTGGCTCATTATTAATTTAATATTTCTTTCACATTGATTCAATAAACTGATAAATCAATTCGATAAGAATCAAATATTAAATCAATGCCGAAAAATATTAAATACGTTGGATATTGTGCTGTATTGAAATAAGAATTTTCGACATTACTAGACTTTCGTTAATGTTTCTTATTGAATCGATATCGTTTTTTTTGATTTTATGTTGTTTTTTCTCTGGGTGAACNATATTGTGCTGTATTGAAATAAGAATTTTCGACATTACTAGACTTTCGTTAATGTTTCTTATTGAATCGATATCGTTTTTTTGATTTTATGTTGTTTTTTCTCTGGGTGTACGTGTATTTCACCACGTATATAACAGTGAAAAGTGTTTGCGATTTTGTTTCTCTTACAAAACATTTTTTTTTTTCAAATCCATATTCCGCGGATTTAATTGGGACGCTCCGTTTTCCACGTTAAAAAGTGCTGAACCAAAGATTAAAGCAAATAAAACTTCACGTAATTTGCAAGAAACAAACACCGCCACAAGATCTTATATTTTTTTCTTGATTTTCTGTGACACAAAGTGCAATTTTTCCGTTTGACACAAATTTTCTTATTTTTTGCGAACGATACCTGGGTGGTACTCAGCTATTTTTAATTAAATCTTTTATTAATTTATATACGTCTGAGCTTCTACGACATTCAAAATGCCACTTGGACACAGTCCACCAAAAATGTCTGAAATCGAGACAAGGTCAAAAAAAATGCTTCGCAAGAAGGGAACCCTCACCGCGCCGGAAATCCAAAACTTTTGACCCATCCGCTCAAAAGTTTATAGCGGAAAGTGACAGTATCATGAGATACTGTGCAAAATTCAGTGATGCGCCAATCCAAGACCACACTGAATCATATCTTATGATAAAAGACAAATCACTAGATGATTGTTGGGCATGGCTTCAGTCCGCCTATGATTTGGTTTTTTCAAAGCCAGATGACAGCCTACCTGAAAGAAAGTGTGCATCAGAATTGAATTTCAATACGATAGTTATTATTATCGTTCATATTTTCTGCCAGGAATATTACTTTATACCACGCGATGGAAAGAAGAACCCTTCTGGCAANGGACTCGGAGACATTTTACGGCGGTTACGAAGAATGGCCCGCCTTTCGCGACATGTTCACAGCGGTGTACATCAACCACCCGAAGCTCTCCCGTGCTCAAAAATTGTATCACCTCCGATACAAAACCCAAGGAAAAGCCGGCTCCATCGTCAAGCAATACCCGCTCAGCGATGATAACTTCGAGCTGGCCTGGGAAGCTTTACGGTCACGATACGAAAACAAACGTATCCTGGTATTCCCAAGACGTCCAGACAGACAGTTGGGATCCCATATTGGTGTACATATGCTCATCCAAATTGCCCGAAACCACACTGTCACTTTGGGAACAATCTCTCTCTTCTCGAAGAGATTTACCCTCATGGTCACAAATGGACGATTTTCTTACTTCAAGATACGAAGTAGTCGAAAGACTTAACCGGCTTCATCCAAGCCAAAATAAACAAAAACCAGTCGCTCATCAAAATGCTGCGCAAAACAGGTCCTTTAACAGGACTCAAACCTTTGTGGCAGAACCTAAGAGGGAACCAACTTGCTCTTACTGCAAGTCCCCTCATCCCATTAGAGTCTGCCCACAATTTAAGCGAATTTCGGTACCAAACCGAGTACAATTCGCAAACCAAACCAAGCTGTGCAAAAACTGCCTTGGTAATACCCATAGCACTAATGAGTGTCCGAGCAAGTGGTCATGTACACATTGCCAACAACGGCATCACTCCCTGCTGCACATGAATCCCAAACCACAATCTCGACACTCCAGTGCGCGAGCGAATGAAACCGCCGCACAACACACTACTGCCCAGTCGACACCTCCCGCTCGACAAGCGCAGTCAAGCTCCGATTCCAGCGAGCAACCGTGCTGTTCCAAACAAGCACAAATACAATCATTGCACACCGACAATGATAGCAAAATTCTCCTTCCAACTGCCATAGTCGCAGTTGAACACGAGGGTGAATTGTTTCAACTTAGAGCCCTGATTGATCAAGGCTCACAAAGAACTTTCATTTCCTCGAAAGTTCAAAAACGGTTGAAACTACCATTCGAACATTCCAAGTTCGAAATTTCCGGCATGGGTGGACATGTAGTACAAAGCTCCTCAAAGCTTTGTCCACTCACATTGGTAGCACCCAAAACCATGCAACGGATAAACACACAGGCTATCGTGTTACCTCAGCTCACGAGGCACATGCCTACATTCACCATTAGCCGTGAAAACTGGCAGCAATTCAAGATCCTTGAACTTGCTGACCCAAGCTGTCACATACCAGCTCAAACTGACATGGTAATCGGCAGCGATATACTTCCACAAATCCTGCTGGAAGGTATACAAAATATTTGCGACACAATACTTGCGCAAAAAACAATATTTGGCTGGATTCTCAGTGGTCCAATAACCGAAAATGTGGTGTCATTCTCGACACAAGTAGAAGAGTGCTCGAATGCAACTCTCAGCTCTCAGCTTCGAAAGTTTTGGGAAGAGGAGGAGATTCCACAACCTCCACAAATTTCCCCTGAAGATCAGGCTTGTGAGCATATATATGCAACAACAACGACTCGTGCCCCAAACGGTCGATACATTGTGCGACTTCCATTCAAGGAAGAATTTCCAAAAAAGCTGTCTCTGGGCCACTCTCGGTCTGCTGCACTTCAGCAGTTTTTTAGCATGGAGCGATCGCTTCAGAAAAAAGGAGACTTAGGCACAATGTATAACAATGTGTTGCAAGAATATCTCGACCTCGGTCATATGGAGCACACGAAGCCATGTGAGATAGTAGCTAATGGCAAATACTTCTCATTCTACTTGCCACACCATGCGGTCGTCAAACCAGATAAGGTAACCACCAAAGTTCGCGTGGTATTCAACGCCTCAAAAACATCTGGTTCAGGAAAATCCCTGAATGACGTGTTGCACACTGGTCCCACACTCCAGCCAGATCTCATGCTGCTCATTCTGCAGTGGCGAATGCACAGATTCGTGTTCAATGGCGACATTGAAAAAATGTATCATAAAATACTCATCCATGAGGACGATAAAGATTTTCAGCGAATCTTATTTCGCACATCGGCTGACTCTCCTGTCACCGATTATAATCTTAAAACCGTAACGTTCGGGGTTAATTGTGCACCATACCTCGCTATCCGTACCCTGCATCAATTAGCAGATGATACGATAGCGACATTTCCCTTGGCTGCCACAATACTTAAAACCGAAACGTATGTGGATGACATCCTATCCGGAAGTCATGATATTGACAACGCCACTGAATCACTTTTTCAAGTGATCAAAGCGCTTAAGTCAGCTGGTTTCATACTCAAGAAACTAACGGCCAATCATCCGGCCATTTTAGAAAAATTTCCAAAGGGGGATCTTCTCGACTCCAACTTTTTGAAATTTGAGAGCGCTTCCACAACCAAAACTCTTGGTATACAATGGAACGCACTCACAGATAAATTTTCATACACCATTCTGCCTGCATCGACATCGAATGCCGTCACAAAGCGACAAATTTTATCTTCTGTCGCAAAACTTTTTGACCCGGCAGGATGGCTATCGCCAGTGATGATTCAAGCAAAGATTCTTCTTCAAGAACTTTGGCTAGATGGCGTTGATTGGGACGAATGTGCCAAACCTATATCCTTGGCAAAATGGCAACAGTTCGCAGAAAATCTGCCAGCCATCTGCCACATCGAAATCCCTCGATGGGTTAATTTCACTCCGGGGCAAGATACCCAAATCCACGGGTTTTGCGATGCCTCGGAAAAAGCATATTGCGCTGCGATTTACATCCGCGCAGATGCTAGCAACCAAAGATATTCCACTCTCTTGGTTGCAAAAAGCAAAGTCGCACCATTGAAGACGGTAAGCTTGCCACGCCTGGAGCTGTGTGGTGCAGTCTTACTCGCAAAACTGGTCGCAACTGTTCGAAAACAGCTCAAATTGGAATCGTGCAACACATTCTTATGGTCAGATTCAGAGATTGTGCTAGCTTGGCTTGAAAAGCCACCATGTACATGGAAGACATATGTATCCAATCGTACCTCCCAAATCCGGGAATATCTTCCAACCGGTACATGGCGCCATGTTGCCAGCCAAGACAATCCAGCCGACCTCGGCACCCGTGGTTGCAAACCGCAGGACTTGGCAAATTCCCCACTCTGGTGGCACGGACCAAAATGGCTCTCTTGCCACATGGATGCATGGCCAAGGTCAAAGGCATGCAGTGTATCTCCACCAGAAAAACGCAAGGTGGAGGTATATCACGCGCTCGAAGAAGAGGTCGATTTTCTTGATCGCATTTCTTCTTTCTCTCGAGCACTCCGCGTGACTGCGTACATGTTCCGCTTCGTGAGCAATGCCCGCAACAAATCAAAGGGGTTAGCTACAATCACCTATCCACACCTGACACATAACGAATTTCAATATGCAAAAATTCGTCTTATCAACGCAGCGCAATCACGCCATTTTCCGGGCGAAAAAAGCGCTTTGCAAGATAAAAGGCCACTTAACAAAAAAGTGCTCTTCTTGTTCTCAATCCTTCGTTGGACAAAGACGGACTTATACGGGTTAATGGCCGATTAGCACATTCCACATTGAGCTATAATGAAAGGCACCCAATAATTCTCCCTACCGAATCGAGGTTCCGCCAGCTATATTTGGAGTTTTTATACTCGCTGCTTCTTCACGCAGAAACAAGATTAATGCTCCAAATGGTAAGGCAAGAGTACTACGTACCAAAGCTAACACCTCACATTAAAAAATGCATCTTTCAATGCAAAGTGTGCACGCTTTACAAGCAACAAACACGCACCCAAATAATGGCCGCTCTACCCCCTGAGCGCTGCA